GCATGACAAATTAAATATAAATATACTGAAAAAAAGACAAAATTAACTTTGGGTTCAATAATTATTTCTAAGAAATAATACATTCCTCCAAGAATCAACCTTCCCATCTTTGGGTTCAACATTTTGTGCAAAACAACCATTTCAGGAAGTTTAACCAAAGAAAAGGGCTTTGAGTCAACATTATTCTCTAAACATCAGGACCTTAAGATTTTGCAAAGAGAAGAATTAATCTGGAGAAAGCATGGAGCTCTCAATGTTGAAAATACCCCAAGAATATTTCAAAGGGGAAAGGCTGCATTTTTCTGGATGTTGATGCGACTAGGCGAAACCATGAAGCATCGAAGTTTCTGTTGAGCGGAAAGCCACTACACGCAATCTTGATTCTATGAAAATTACTTAGGATAACTTGTTGTGGGCTCGGAAGGTTAGAGAAATAGGGTCAATGGCAAATTTTAGGCCTGACTTGTAGCAAAATTTTCCAGAAAGTTGATAAAGTGAACTATGAGGAGATTTACTCATAAAGAAATTTATCATAGAGTTACTTTAAATGGGATTCGCTCTCTCAAATGGTGACTCTAATAAGGATATCTACATTCAACAAGACTATAGCTTCAATATTATCGGAATGCTTTGCAAGATCAATGATGCATTTATTGTTCATAATAAGATTAGACACCTTCTCCTATATTGGAAGCTGCAATATCTTTGATTTTTAAAAATTACTAAAGATCTCAAAGTATAAGCAACAGCTATTCTTGTGTCTTGTGATCTCTATGGACGAGAATTAGTCATTATAAGTTCAAAAATCCTTCCTGGCTTACACTCTCAAGTTGCTTGATTTTTAGCTTAAAAAGGAATTGCCACTGTGGATGGCTTTAGAGGTTAGATGCCACAGCAGATACACTCAGTTTTCTTGTATTTGAAGAGACAAAGAGCAAGTTCTAGTTCTCCGGCTGTGAATCTACAGCAACAAATAACTGTTTCTTGCTCATCTGCCTTTAATTTTCCTACAATATATTTTACGGGGTCTCAGTCCTTGGCAGTTCCATGCCCATTATGAAGGCACATTCAAATCCGAAAGAAGACATCAAGTTTCTAATGCCAAGAGTCCGTCAATACCATGCTATTTCCGTCCGTCATGAATTGGCCGAGTTCACGCGGAACATGTTTGCAGTGCCGTGTGAAACGGACATGAGAAAACAGTAGGAAAGAAGCAAATAATCGCGGCATGGTACCTTTAGGAGCGGAAACTTCGAAGAGAGCACGTCCAGCATCAACCTTGTTTTGTCGGTGTCAGGTGCAAAAGCGAGATGTTCACCGTTCACGAACAACAACTTCAAAATACTGTCAAAACTTGGAGAGATCTCACTTTTGCCCACCTCAACAAGCATGCCCTTTCTAATATACCTGGAACGAAAGAAATCAAGTACATGCAAAAATCAAAACCACAAGCAGCAACCAAAGACGAGTAATTCACGTAAACACTGAAGCGAGGATAGTAGATGGTGGAAAACAGAAGAGAAAGAAGCGGATAGCCTACGCTTGCACGGGGTGAATTTGCGTGTCAGCTCTAGACCTTATTCCGATGAGCATCAACATCACAATCGTTGGCAGCAGAATCTGAAATATCAAACGACACAAAGACAAAACAAACTGTACCTTAAATGGAGAGAGAAAGAGAAATCACCCCGAACCAAATGAAATAGTCCTCTTGAGAGTGGGTTTTGATCAGGGAATTGGTATAATAGGTTTGGGACGATTCACAGGTGGTGCTCTGCGACCGAGTACCTCAGCACAGGTGGCGAAAGGGTGGCGGATTTTGAGAAGCCAGTTCTTGCGGAGCACGGCCCTCAGCTGCCGCTGAGACCTCCCCATCTCTCTTTTTGTGTACCACTCCCCTCGACCCTGCCCTCTTTCTGGCCGAAGACTCGAGGTGATATATATCAACGGAGCTCAAGCCAACAGCAAGGACAGAGGAAAAGGGATCGGCGGGCGATCATCGAAGACTGAGAACAGAGTAGGTGTCGAAGGGAACGGATCTTTCGAGACGAGGGAGCTCTGGTTTTGTGGATTCAGGGGACAGACGAGAGGAAAGAGAGAGAGAGAGGTGGGCTGAGCGCCGCCGCTCCTTTTGGGTGCAGGGAATGTGGTGGCCCGCTAATGCTGTGGGGGACCGGCTGGAAAACGGGTTCGGATGCTGCCGTGAACCGTACGCTATAAGCAAATATTCTCCTATGAGTACCAGACTTCAAAATATAAACAACAATTTACCTAAAAAAGAAAAAAATCACAGCTTTTATTGACCACAACAAAGAGCTTCGAGTTTTTTAAATATCAATGATGATTTCGCAAAGAGAAGCCAATCGACCGGTCGAAGAAGAAGTACATCGACCCATGTCAAATGGATTGTCTCTTCATCTTCCCTAAATGGATCGATTCATGTCACTGTCTCTTGTCATTTACGAATGCGGAGGTATCCGATGAGCTGAGGTTAACCATCGTACTTAACTATGCAAGACTTGCTTCTGTGCTTGACGATTATTCTTCTCCTCCTCTCGCTCTTCCGATTCTCCGTGCCTCCGTCGAATATTTCTCAGTTAATACCTCTACCTAATTCATCATCATCTCTTTGCCGCATACGGCCCTAATAAGTCTGACTGGAAATGGTACTACTTTTCCTATAAATAATTTGTATAATTCCTATGTGGGATGCTTATTAAATAATTTTTTGAAAAATATTTTTTATTTTTTTTATTATTTTGTTATTATACATTTATTTTCGTCATCATTACATCATTATATAAATTTGTATCCCAAATATGATCACGAGTCGATTATATCATTTAACATTCATCAACAAATGATATAGAAAAGAATAGTTCAAACTTATTTGTTACTGGTCTTTTAGACAAATTTAAATAATCGAAGCTTATATAAATAAAAACTTTGTATTGAGTTTCTAGTGAAGTAGTAAAGCACGTTAGCAATCATTTCACTTTCATTTACCATAATTTGGCATATTACAACATACAGTGAGGCAAATTGGAGTCCCAAATCTAGGTATCAAATGCTTATTCTAAATTCTTTTAGTAAAGAACATATGGGATGTAATTTTAATGTTATTCAGTTGATTTTGGTTCATGATAAAAGTGCAGCTGGTCTTTCTTTCGTAAACTGATGCACCGAAAGCTCATATCGGTGCTATAGATAACTTTTATCAATATTTTTGATGGATTATAAACATTTTTTAGATTTTATATATTTTATTTAATTACTGTCCCTAATTTCATAGGCCAAATTTAAAAATCAAATACTTATATTTATTCATTTATATAAATAATATAAAATTATTATTATTATTATTATTATTATTCAAATGGTCTGATGGTGATTTAATTTGAACGCCTAAAAAAAATTTATGGATGTCAGGATGATATATTAGATTCATTTAATAAAAATTGAGGATTTAAAATCTTATCCATAAATTTTTTATATCATAAATATTAAACTCACTTGTCAAAGATTAAAGTTTCAAAATCTTATAATTTTTATTATGGATAAGATGATCATGTACTAAACTCATAGAATTTAAAACTATACTGAATGAATCTTATCTAAAGCATTGATACGGTGATAATTTACCAAATACACTCGAACGTGGCTGTGATTTAAAATATAATCCGACAACATAATGTGTATATATATACATTTCATGCTTGGAAGAAACCCATGGAATAGATAAACTTATCTAGGGGTTAATAAATAAAAGAAATCTCTAATCAAGGTTCAAAATTATGGTTATCTCATCTCTAATCAATTTTATTTTCCTGTCAACGAAATTAGCAGACACTGAGAAGTCAAAGCCTGCTTACGTATTAGTCTACTTTTTCTTTCTTTGGGGGGTGGGGGGGAGGGGAAGATGAAAGCAAGGATCTAACAGTAAATTTACACAAAAAGATCTACATGATAAATTTCACACTTGAATCGACTTTAAAAATCTAAGGCCTTTATATTTAATATCACATTAACCAATCATTAGAAAAAAGTGTAAAACAATATGTAAAAGTTAACTTTATGATGGAAAAAAAAAAAAAGTTAACTTTATGGAAGTGTGAATACTAAACGACGATAAAATTTTCCCTGTATAAATAAAATTATCTTTTTTTTTTTATCGGTTTTCATTTATCTTCAAGGGAAGATACAATATCAATATAAAGATAAATAAAAAGGAAAGTATGAAAGAGAGACCAGAATCTAATAGATATATTGCTAAAATAAAAACCAAAAGATAAATCCATCATTTAAAAAAAAAAAAAAAAAAACTTCTATACTATTTTTATCAAAGACTGATCTTTTAGTCTTCCCTATTTTTACGGAGTCAAGTAGGATCTGTCCAAGGGCTATCCCTGTCTTGAAGGCCAAAGAGCACCAACAGACATCTTTAATTACGAGCGATAAATTTGGTACTGTTCCAACTAAGGAAAAATAAACTCTATCTTAGTTAAACAATCGATCTGATTGACCAGTCAAAGCCAACTAATCCAGAATTCAAGTTGCAATAGGCATCCCCAACGACAAGTTGCACATGTCATGACGTCCGACTCCCACAGGCGCAAGTCTAACCAAGTGGTGGATACCGAGAGCTTGGCGACAACGGCAGGCATCCCCTTCCTTAATCACTCCTATTAACGGCTCATGGCCTCCCTGGCTACTTCAGCATATAGAATGAACGCTCATCATCCTAAAACGCATGAATTTGACACACAAGGATAATAGGAGCCCCGGAAATCTTAGCATTCATAGAAGAGCTACGGAAAGGCCACACATCATGTCAGCCCCACAAACATACCCTCCAAAGAGCCTGTCATTCAACATTACTAGACTTTTTAACATTTGCCTCATCATCTTTGTGGATTGAGTGAAAATCTTAAATGACAAAGCATAGGTATATAACTATGCCAATAAAGTCGAATTAAAAAAGGTTTATCAATCACCATGACTCAATCGTGAGGCCGGATCCTTTCAAAAAAAAACAACAACAAATAAACGTACATGGGTTTCCCACATCTCAAACAAGAAAAACACATGCTAGCTAAGTTTCAAAGAATGGAAGGATTGAAAATACAAGCTCCATCATCATTATCCTCGAAACACCATTGACCAATAAGTAATTAGTTCCCACGAGATGAAAGATTGAACCCAATTGCCGTTGCTGCCACAACCGCCACCATCAGGTAATCATTCCCTCAGGAACCACAGCACGACGATGTTGCTGCAGCAGTGCCATCTGCAGCTGTCTGGTCTGGTTTGTTTATCTTGATGGTCCGATCCTGCAACCAGATGACAGGTTAAATCTTCAAAATTAGAAAGTTGTGATATTTTGACATAGAAAAAGGTTGCTTCTACCTCAGGTTTTGAATCAGTTTCTGCAAGTCTCTGCTTGATATCTCTTGCAATTGAAAAGAAGACTTGTTCAACATTAAGGTTCGTCTTTGCACTCTGCAACATATCAAAGACATTGTTAAAAACTAGCATAACTAGAGACAGGATAGAAACCAACATAGCCACATACAGTCTCGAAAAACTTAATCCCATATTCATCAGCAAGAGCTTGCCCCTTTGATGTCGGCACAGCCTGAAAAGAACCCAGTTATATAGAAAATGGTTTATAAACTTGGAGCAGAAAAAAGAACACCAGAGGCAGCAAGGTTTTATGAACTACTGGCCAAACAAATCAACTATCGGACGTTGAACACACAGAAACATACCCTTTTACTTTCATCCATATCAGCCTTGTTACCAACCAAAACTTTGTTTACGCTATCAGAAGCATGCTGTTCAATGTTGCGAATCCAGTTCCTTATGTCTGTATGTTACCACGAATATAGATAATCTGAATAAGAAAACCAGAAAGTGAACAGGCAAAACTACAGTGAGAACATAAAGAATATTATTACTATTGAAAGAAGATTCATCAGTGACATCATAAACGAGCAAAATGCCCATAGCGCCTCGGTAGTAAGCTGAAAGAATAAAGGAAAATAAGTTATTCATTCAAAGATTTACATAGAAAAGATGGCATGCAATAGAAAAACCCAGGGCAAAGGTCAAGATCAAAAGAAACAAGAAGCCTACCAGTTGTGATAGTTCGAAAGCGTTCCTGTCCAGCAGTGTCCCAAATCTGTAGTTTAATCCTCTTGCCATCCAGTTCAATTGTTCTTATCTTAAAATCAATGCTGCGCAGAGATCAGGTAATTGCCATTGGAACTAGAACAAGCTAATGAGATTGGATTGCAAATCCAATTACAAATAAGCAAATGTAAACTATTGCTCCTTGAAACTGAACTCACCCGATTGTGGTAATAAAACTGGTAGTAAAGGAACCATCTGAGAAACGCAAAAGGAGGCAACTCTTTCCAACACCTAAAGAACACAGCATATCATCTCATGTTGCACATAATCAACTAAAAAAAAAATTACATAATTAGGGCTTCTAAAGTAGATGGATTTTATTTGTGAAAAGGTTCTCAAAACAAATAATATGTTAACAGCCAAGATCCACTTTGCGAGTTTGCTACATGTGGTAGTGATATCCATTTCTCTATATACAATATGCTTTATCACACTTGCATCAGGTTATAAAAAATTGAAGTAAATGTTATTGTATGGAGTTACATTACATAAAATTATGGACCTAAATACCCGGTAAAAACTTATTCTACTCTCTTTAAGCTGCTGACCAAGCTCTTCTCTTAAGAGACAGTGATTGGCAGTCCCCTATTGCTGTGCACCCAGGTCTTTGTGTTGTCACCTCCTAGTCTTGCCAAGAGAAGATTTGTCAATGGCACATATAAGACTGACACGGCATCCTTTGCTATTTGGAATGGGGTGGCCATTTCCTTTGTATTAGCCAAATCACTTACCTGATTGAGGGGAAATAGGACTTCAGAAAAGGCCCACTATAGTTCCATTCAGCTGAAACCCGATGGAAATCAGAAATCCACCGAACTATTACTGGGTGCAGAACTTCACATAGGCCTTTCCAGCAACTAACAGGTCCCATCATTTCCCAGTCAAAATAGACATCCAAACATACTGTCAGATAACTCTTGATGTGTCTCCAATAAGTGGAACAGCTGGTTTAGTTTTGTTTTAGGTCAAGAGCCCCATAGAAAGGGCTAGCAAAGTCCAGTCATGTTGCCTCAGTATGGCTGATGCCTAATCTCATTTGCTCAGAACTCATGAAATTACTAATAAATCCTATATCTACTATAGAAGGTGATGATTCTTCATAGGAGTTTTCAGTAAGAGTATCATGTGTCAGTGTGAGATTCCATTGAGGCATTCATATTTGTATTTTATAACTTCATAGTTTTTCAAGATTCATTGCAACGATGGAGTTACCTCATCATCATCAAAATCCATAAGCACCAACTTAGCAAACCCTTGGCATATCTATTTTAACCTCCATTTCCAACAAAAAGGAGGCAAAATCTTCTAGTTGTTATAGATCAACATGGTCTTTAAATTTTCAAGTTTTTAGATAATTCCAGTAGGACTAGACAAGTCTGAAACTTTTGTATTATAACTAATCCAAACTCAAAGATGGGCCTAGGAGTACTTATTAGCTAGTGGGATATAATTGTTTAAATACTTCTTCAACTACCTATGCGTCCAAGAAAGATCCCAAAAGGGATTGCAAATGGCTAGTGGTTCTGTATGCCTATGAGGGACCCCAGGCCACCCACAAAAGCTCCAATCAACGATTCCAATGAGATTTTTAAGAGCATGTAACTTTTCTAAATTCGGCTTTATCTTCCACTAGCATGCCTACTAAGTGAGAAGCCTTAACTCAACAACATAATTTGTCATTCTAGTTAGGATTGAATATTCCGCTAGGAACAGCATGGTGGTGCCAGAATTAGTTTTGGAAGATTGTTGACCCTGTGTATGACGAGGGCTATAATCACAGACTTTGATTGGCTTCTGAATTCTAGTAGTGTTGACCACATGCGAGGAACTATCCTTTCCTCAAGTTCATCCACCTATGTTAATCCCTCAATAGTTTTGCCTTTATCTGTATAAGAGACAGGGCAACAATGAGTTTGCCTTACCAAGGCCTAGATAGTAGCTTGGACCACAGTTTCAACTATTTGGAAAAGCCCTAGGCATTATCATCGTATCATGGCTCTCATATTCAACTATGCCCATGTCAATGTCGACTTGTTAGTTGAGCCTGTTGTTGTTGAAATGAAGCATCAAAAGATTAAAGTGCATCACCCAATTAACAAATCCTTGAGATTTTGATCTTGAATATGAATGTCGATAGAGGATAAAGTAGAAGTTTTAAGTTAAATATAGATCAATATGATGTAGCAAAATCATCCAGTCTAAGAGAAACAAGTATATATACTAAAACAACAAGCAAAAACAAAGATGACTACAAAAGCATTAAATTCCAGGACAATAAATGCTGAGGAAGAAGTTAATTCTGATAAAACAGAAGAAGATATTGAGGGTTCTAAATCAAGTAATGAAGAACATGAGCACAATGATGATGTTGATGATAACATGGACATTAATGATTATTAGAGATTTTGGAGTCTCGGACTAATAAATGTTTTCAATGTCTTTTATTTTATTATTTACACATGGCCTAATTTAATTATGTTTTTTTTTAATTTAATTCACTATAGATCTAGATACATATAATTGATGTTTTAATGGTGATTGTTTATATATGTAACGGCACAAGACTCATTTTCAATTGAAATTCATTTTTCTAATGATTATTTTTATCCTTAACTATATATCCATAATTTTTATGAGATAAATGCATTGATTTGCTCGGGCAAGCGCCAATTCAAGTGACCAGCATCACAAGCAATTTAGAACCTTGGTTCCTTTCAGCACCTAGCACTTTTGATAACATTAATTCTAATGAAAAACGTTGGAGTTCAAGAACAAAGTAAGCCAATTACTTTAAAATTATATTCTAGCGAACATAGACATTATCTACCCCTCATGAGCTGTTTATATATCTTCTATAAATCAAATGAAGCATGTTCAACAATTGTACCAAATATTTACAGTTTCACCCTAGGTTTCGATAACCGAATAAATCAATACCCATATACCAAGTGATGAACTGGCCTGTGACACTTGGTAACATAAAAAAAGTAATAACAAAATAAATATTGAGGGGTGAAAGCTTATATGGTCTAGTGCCCATTCTTGGTTAAATTGGTGAATACCAGTTTACACTGATCGAAAAAACAAAAATTTGATTCCGTAAATGGTACTATAAGCAAACAACAAACAATAAATAATATTGGAAATAAATCAGATTAAAATAATAAAATAAGTGTAGAATTAACAAAGACATTATATAATAATTACTAGATAGAATTAATCATAATCAACTATTTGTTAATTTGTACCTAAAAATAGTTAATCAGAATATACCTGTTAGGATGAACTTATTTAGTTTTTGGATAATGTTAAACCAACTGAGCCTATTTTTTTTATCTTGTTCTTTTAGAATAACCTCTTGCATTTTGTTACAATTCTAAGCCTTTTTTTTTACTTCCTCATAAGTGATTTCAGTGGTCCCGGAGCAAAGCATCACCCCAAGTTCAGGAAGTGAGGACTCTCATGCATGCAGAGGGAGTATCACAATTTCTCATGCTTTTCAAGTAATTCATAAGAGCATCAAATTGTACCAAAATGTATTAAAATCTAGAAGATAAACACCAGAAAGGTTAGGCAAATTAAAAAAGAATAACGTCGAACAAAACTATAGTGATTACCATAAATATTCAACGTTTATTCATGAAGCCACCAAAATATTGTAGCAAACATTGTATCTCCAAATGTTCAGATTGACTAGAGAATGCGCCTTTTAATGCCACTGGAATGTTAATCATTATATTGCATATTCTGATACTAAAACAGAGAGTCTAACATATAGCCTTTGAAGTATGAATGGCAGATTATTGTTGGCAGATCAAAGTTTCAACATCCTGCAACGATCTAGAACATCAGAGTGTAACATGAAACATTTATGACGAAAAGTAAATGAGCTTCAGTCATGTTACATTATGAATCACTAGAAGAAAATAACAGCATTTCAACAGAGAGCCACCGCATTCAAAAACTATCATGATACCATCAGATGCAAACCGAAATCCATGATCACTATCTAATGCCAAATATCCATCTTCCTTATTGCAATACACCAAGGCGAATAAAAATCCTAACAACGGAAACAAAACCTCGGTCATGAATAAACACCCAATTCCCAAATTGACAACAGATAAGTCATTATGTTGCTCCTAACGCATATGTGAAACCCTCGAATTAAAACTACAACAATAACGCCTCACAAACCCATACGAACCGAATCAAACAAATACAAAATAGTGATCAGATCCTTACCGCTGTCACCGATCAGAAGAAGCTTGATGAGGTAATCGTAGTCCGCCCGAGCCCTAGCAGGAGGAGCCGCCATGGCAAATCAAAACGAGCTTCAAGAATCTAGGCGGCCAAAAATCCCAAATCGGATGACCTGATCAAGAACCAGCCTCTTCAGATCCAAGTGAAAATCCAAGAGTATAACCATTTAATACGTAGATCGAAAACGGTACACAAACAAAATTAACATAAGATAGATAAGAATTAACAAAGACATACCAGATTCGGACAGGGACAAGGAGCAGAATAAGATCTATGGAAAATGGATGGAGAGGCGTGGGTCAGGGTCGAAGGGGTTTGGAGAGAGAGAGAGAGAGAGAGAGGGTAAGAGATAATTTCGCGATCTCTAGACTTTTATTTCAGAGGGAGAGACGAAAGATGAGTTCGTTCGCAGCGGGAGCGGTACAGACACCGCCCAGTGTGAATAGTATTTTTCATTTTCTGGCAAATAGCCTTATTTTAGGTTCCGGAAACCGTGCAGTTACCGTGAAATGGGGAAGAAATGATTGCTGGCGCACTTTGAAGTGCTTATCAATCCTTACGTGTTTTGAATCTTTAATATCCTCTCATATTAATTAAAACTGACAATATATTTATTATATTATGTGTATTTTTTTATTTTTTAATAATATATTAGGTATTATTTCGATAAAATAAAAAAGATTATTTTAAAATTATATGAGTGCTCACGAGACCTATAGTAATTGGAAGAGGTAAAATATATGTTGGTACGAGAGAAAGATCCCAAAGATTTTATAAATATTTTTTACTAATTAATATAATTATCGTCAAAGATTTATATAGTCAATGACTTTATTATATATATATATATATATATATATATATATATATATATATATATATATATA